ATGGCAGTTGAAACACAATATTACTTATAATTAGCTCTATATCAGCGAATTTGGTCATTATAAAACCGGTTCCTATTTTTGGGGGGGCCTATGAACTTTTAACATTTCATCTTGTCGGAAGAAAAACCAACAAAATTGCATTTTCAAACATTTTTCAGAGAAAATGCAACTAGCATGTATTTTAAATAAATCTGCTAGTCTTAACCCTTTCATGCACCAGTATTCAATTATTGAGATAGAAAATATTACTATGGTTCATTTTGATGTTTTTGGAATGTGGATGCCAAAAAACAAGATATTTTTAGATATGACATCAGGATGACGTCATTTGAATTTGTTGTTTTTGAACAACATTGTGCATGAAAGGGAAATCACCAACATATACAGAATTTCTTTCTTGCTACTAACACTAGAAAATAAGTTAAGTATACAGGCTCATTTAAAGTGGGCAGACTGGGGGACTAGTCAGAGCCCAACATTCACCAGAAAAAATAGTTTGACATCATCATAATTTTTTTATCACATCCAAATTTTCTGATGGTCTACCCCCGAAAAACAGTTGATGTATGAATATCGTAGCTAAGATATGCCACATAAAGGATGCAAGTGAAATGGCTGAGATTCATTGTTAGTATTCAGAAACTCTTTCAAACACTTGGAAATCAAAACAATAACTTAACAGTTAGGCTATGTGTAGTCCAACTTTAAATGTTCAATGAAAGTTTGCGAAACAATTGCGCTTCTTTACCAAACAAAGGTAAACTTTGCACTTGGTGCACATTACATGAGAAAATCCTGTCTTGCAATGTCTGCATCTATTTTGCTTCTCATGAAACTCTGGAAAATGATCAACTTTATCTTTGCAAATATCAATTGTGGGTGTTACAACACTAGGAGGTCTTCTCTGTTTGCAAGGTACTTCCAAAACATCATTGGAAGGTCTTCCTCGTTTTAGCTTACATATCTTTCCTGCATTTGCCAGGCTATGACCAATTTGGGCTTGGAATTTCAGGAGTGTCAGTTGCTTTTTCTTTGGAATATCCATTTGACCAGAGTGTCTTCGGTATAACAACCAAGCATTAACAATGGAGATGCCAATGCAATGAAAGACAATATGCATATAATATTTTACCGATCTGTGGCCAATTCTATACAAAGATAAAAGCATATCGCACAAATCTACTCCACCCATGTGGATATTGTATTCATGGATGATCAGTGGGCGTTCAATCTGTACATATTTTCTTTCCTTCTTACACCATCTTCTGGCTGCAGGGCCATCTTCCCCAGACATGTAATTGGAGATCAGCTGCACTATCCCATTATCCATCCATCTGACTACAGTTATACCACTATTCGCTTCCACAACACTGTCAGAGGAACCGCGCCCATTCCTTTTCAATTCCTTCTCAGATTGCAGATGGTGTTGTGCTCCTTTCATTCTGTCTTTTCTAACAGTTGCAACAACCCAGATTTTTTTTTTGGTTAGGTGTTGAAGAAGGGGCAATGAACTGAAATAATTGTCAAAATAGATTTTATGATTCATGTTATGTGGTAATGTATCACATAATCGACGCACAACATTTCCAGCCATGAGCAGTTCTGGCATTTCTTCTTTGTCATTACATTTCCCACTATAAACTTCAAAATCATAGACCAAACCACTGACACCACATCTAGCCCAGACTTTTATTCCCCATTTGTGGGGCTTCTTGGGACAATATTGCTTGAAACTTGTGCGACCTTTTGTTGGTATCATTTGCTCATCTATAGATTGCTTTTCCTCCTGTGGAATGCTCCGACATTTTTGAAGAACTGAGTCAACAACAGGTCGCACTTTGAATAGCTTATCATGGCCTTCTTGTCCAGCAGGGACATACTTTGTGTTATCATTGCAGTGAAAGTTCTTTTTCAGAATTTCAAATCGTTTCCCTGTCATTACTTCAGAAATTGATGAAACACGTGTTTCGTTTGCCCAATACATTCTTATTTGAGGAAGCTTTATTATTGACATCATGATTAGAATACCAATGTATTGTTCCATCTCGCTTTTGCTTGTTTGAATAGAGGCCCCAGTTTGTTGAACACTGTAAAGGTTAGTTTGTTCTGCAATATGCTGAATCAGATCTTCACTGAAAAATTGTTTGAAGTAATCAACTGGATTCAATGCTTCTTTTGGAGGTGGTGGTAGTTCTTGACCTTTGAAATTGACATCAAATTTTGGTGAGGTCCTTTTTCTCCAGCGCGTCTTCATTTCTTGGGTGTTCCTTTCCTTTGATTTTGATGTGACTGAACTCTGCTGTAAATTTATACCAGTGACTGATCCTGGAATTTGTGTTTTGGCTGAGGCTTGTTGCTCACCTAACACCTCATTTGACATATCTGCCTCAATTTCTGACATATATAATTCAGATTCACTGAGCTCTTCTTCAGATCTTTGGTATTCACTTCCAGATGAAGGAAACAGATCTAATTCATCCTCTTCATCACTACTCTCTTTTTCACTGCTTCCTGGCTCCAAAACAACTGGATTTCTTATGTGTTGGTTCTCAACTATATCTGTTTTCACAGTCCAGCCATATCTGTTTGAAATTAATATTATAAGCTTTTCAATAAAAAGGTAACTACTTTGAGAATTTTTTATTAATTGTAAAAGTCCTAAAGCATGCAAATGGCACAAATAACATCACATAAATTCTTAAAGATGACAAAACTGTATAAAATATATTATCTATGGCTGTACAAGTATTTCTTATAACGAATGCACTGATCAGCTGATTTCATATTTGTTGTATGTATTCGAGCTGTTAATGCACCATGTTGTTCCACAACAACAAATTTGTTTCCATGAAATTTATAAAACCTGTGCAAGAACTTGATAAGAACAATGGCTTGATTCACAGTTGTTAAGTAGAGTGAAAAGAATATATTTTTTACTCTGCTAAATGTTACATGTTGTATATATTAAATTTGATTGACTCACCGTGACTTCGTTCGTTTTCAAAATTCGCAGTTAGGTCTCAGGAACACGCCGTTTTCAACAAACCGATTTGAAATAGCCTCCTTTTCAAACAAGCAAGCTGAAGGCCTATTGTATACAGTCTTGCTGCAGCCTCTTTCGATTGGTTAAAAATTGAATGGAAACAATGGCACTATTGTTTTAATTTGTTGTTCCACAACAACAGGGTGCATGAAAGGGTTAAAAGGTCTACAAATGCTTTATGCGGTTTTCCAGTAAAGAAAGAAAAAATAGGACCTAAAAGATATTATTCTTCATCGTTTTCTTCATCAATGAAAATCAGTTTATGACGTCATTTGTCTTTACAATTTCTTAGGCCTACACTTTGTTATGCAGTGGCATAGCGAAAGAGAGGTCCCCATCCCCAATGGCAACAATTATCTTTGAAAAAGGGCGTTTTCAAAAGGGGTATTCAAAAGGGATTTGACCCTAGTTTTAACTTTTAGCTACCTGTTCTTAAATACAGCATTCATCTTGTCAAAAACCCTCTTTTGTAATCCCAACTCTTTTCTCAATTTCAGCTACACACTTTCCATCTAATGTTATCAAGCTGCCTAGATAAGTAAACTTCAAAACGTTAGTTATTGCTACGTACAAGGAACATTTGTTTTCCCGTTGATATAAACATACATTCTGTGTTTTTTACATTTTTTTCAAGACTTTTCTTTTCACTTTCTGACACAACCTTATTCAGGGTTGCTTAATTTTCCACAATTTATACAGTGTAATCCGCATATCAAATGTTGTTAATATTGACACCATCAACTTTCACACCTGGCATATTCTCTATCTCTCTCAGAATGAATTCACTGTATAGATTAAAAATATGTGGGGATAACACATATCCTTGTCTGACACCTCTCATAACTGTTGTCAACTTGCTGGTCTCTCCGTAAATTCTAATGGCTGCGCTCTGTTCCCAACATAAGTTCCTTATCAGTTGTAGATCTCTTCCATCGATCTCTAATGCTTCCAGAACTCTAAACATTTATTAATGGTTTAATTTATCAAATGCCCAGTAGCGTAGCCAGGGTTGCAAGATTTTGGGGAGGGGCAAAGACGAGTTGTGCAAGGGAAAATTGGGAGTCAAAACCCTTTTGAATACCAGGAAAAGCCCTTTTTCAAAGAAAATTCTTGTCATTGGGGATGGAGACCTTTCTTTGGCTATGCCACTGCATAACAAAGTGTAGGCCTAAGAAATTGTAAAGACAAATGACGTCATAAAATGATTTTCATCGAAGGAGAAAATGATGAAGAATAATATCTTTTAGCTCTTTTTTCTTTCCTTACTGGAAACCGCTTTCTCCACCTTGTTATCATTTTAGGGGTCTGGGAACAATGAATCATTCTAAAAATAGCATTTGGGGGATTTCTAAGACTGGGTCCAAATTTTATCTTATTCAGCATTCAGCATATCAAACTGTGTAGTTGTGACAATTCTCATTCTTTTATGACAATTTGCGCAAAAGCTTCGTGTCAGAGGCCTTGGCTACTACACTAATACGAGTTCCACATTATCAAAGACTCGCAATACCACAGGAAAGCTAGATAAATAGCTGGTTTTACAATTTTTCTACCATCAGTTGTTCTACCCTCTTTGAATTGATCAAAAATTTTGACAATTTTTGCGAGTTTCATGGGTCTCATTTTGTTAAATTATCATTTTTTGTTTATTACATAGCAACTATGTTGCATTCCCAACGATGATCTAGGTAGGGCCTATTTTGGGTTCCACGCCTTCTACAGAAAAAGTTATCAAACTTCCCTTTAAATTACTATTTAGCTCCACTTTGTCAAGCTTTGGCATAACTTCCTACAGAGAATCGAAGTAAATTAGGCCAAAGAAGCCATTTTCGTCAAGGGTTCCATGAAATCTTGCGTCAAATAAAAAAACTTGTATTTGACGTCAAAACTACTTCAACGTTACAAAAATGACTGATTTAATGGACAACGGAGCATTCATTTGTTTCGTTTTGCCAAGATGGAGAATATCGATAAAAACGTTCGAGTTGGGATTCTAGCTTGCGTTGGAGGATTCGCAATTGGTTACGCCTCATATGCGTTGCTAAATGGAGTTAGAAATACGAGAAGAGTCGAAAGGGAGATGCAGCGGCGAAAATTCGGCGAACTGCTTTTCAATGATACTAATATGGAATGCAGAGATGTTACGACGTTTAGCGATATTACGGCACTCGTTGGTTCGGTGTCAGACAGCAATACTGTTGATTGCGACTCGACGAAAGATTATCTGCATTTCGAAATTATGGAAAATTACCCGATTATCCAGGATAACAGAACCTTGATGGCGAAGTACATAACACCAGAAATTTACGAGGAATACTGGAGTATCGAAACACAAATGGGATGCACTTTCGACCAGTTGATCCAAAGTGGTATCGATGTGCCGAATTTCCCTAATTGCGGATTTGTTGCAGGAGATGCAGAATGTTACGACACGTTTCGAGATTTTATTGATCCAATTCTTACAGAAAAACATAATGGATTTATGAGAGGGGTGCATCGACATTGGCGATGTCTTGATGCATCGCAGCTGTCGAAACGTTGCTCAACGTTGGATCCAAGCTATGTGGAAGGAGTCTCTTTTACCGCCGGAAGGTCTTTCCTTGGCTACAGATTTCTTTCATCTTGTAACCGCGCGGAACGTAGAGAGATTGAGAATAAGTTAAGAAATGTGTTTGAGAACATCACTGAGAGAAATGGAATAGATTTCAGCGGTGAATATTACCGAATAGGGAAAAATAACAATGAACTCTTACGAAATTTTCCAGCAGACTCTCCATCTTACTGGGTTGAAAAACCAACGGCCCCTGTATATGTGATCGCAGGAATCACGAGGGACTGGCCAGATGCACGCGGAGTCTTTGTCAGTAGTTGCCCTGGTATCTTTGCTTCGGTGAATAGAGACGACCATCTTCGGTTGTTTTGTAGGCAACAAAACGCGGACGTAGCGCAAGGATTCGCGAGATTCTGCAGTTTTCACGCGGAGCTAGAGGAGCGAATGCTAGACGAAGATATAAAATTTGCATGGCATAAGGATTATGGATATTTATTGTGGTATCCAAGCGTAATTGGAACAGGACTGAAAGTCTGCATAAGCTTACGGTTGCAGCATTTATCAAGAAACAACAAACTTGTTGATGTTATGAGGAGACTAAGACTTAGGTTCCAGCTTTCGCAACAACCGGAGCGCGCGCAGATGGGTTGGGTCGAAATATACAACGGAGACCGTCTAGGCCTTACGGAGGTGCAAATAGTTGAGACATTGGTCGATGGGGCCTTGAAGCTTATTGCACTTGAAAAGAAACTAGAAAATTCCCAAACAATAGATCAGTCACTTCCACTCTCAAAGAAGCCTCATTTAGACGGTCGAGAGGATGCAGGGAGATCATAGATAACATTTCACATTTCTATTGTTTTTTATTGCATAAAATGTAAAAATGGATATTATATCTTGATATATGTTTCTTGTATTGTATTGTACTGTACTTACAACTTCGTAACGAAAAATACGTAATCAAAATTTGGCAGTTTAATTTTTTACTTCAACCCCGTGAGATTCCTCTATGAACAATAAATTTCAGCTGTCAGTTACCAAAACGAGACGCAGTCGCTTGTGACAATACAGGCATTTCAAGACAGCCAGAACTTTATCAGATAACAGGCACTCGTAGAAGAAACAAGTATTTGAATTGAGTGTTTCTTACTCGTTCGACTTCCCTTTTATCAATGACAGTGAAATTATCTTACGACGCTTAGAAACGATAAACTGAGCAGAGTAGCTTAGATAAAGGGCAAGGAGATGGCCGATCCGTATGCTAGCTGCACTCTAATTCATGATGGCATTGGAAACATTCAGCAAAGTAGAGCTTTTGGCGGTCAAAAGGTGGTAAAATAAGTACACAATTTTTCAATGTTTCCTTAAGAGAAAAAATTGGGGAAAATAAGTATGTAAAAGAGTCAGCAGGAGAGGTTATCTCAAAACTTTGAAAATGGTATGCTCAGTAATTTCTAATTACCAATGAGTCTTCTTAGAATTGAATATTTATATAAATCTCTTGAGTTGCTTATTTTTGCAAGAACAGTACTCAATTAAGAGAATTTTTTTACACAAAGATAAATTTTAATCACAAGTTTATTTTGACTTGTCTACATTGTATTAGTTTTATTTGCAAGAAAAGAAAACATATTAAAGAAACACCATATTAAGGTAACACCATGAGAAGAAACACCATATTAAGGTAAAATATGTGCTATATTTCTGAAAATAACAGGTTTCATACTTATTGTCGTGGAAGATCATTTTGAACATATATTGAACTTTAAATTTTGAACATATATTTTACATAAGGGCAACACACACTTTCTAAAGCTTTTATCCAGTAAATTCATTTCCATTGCTCAATTGTATTTACCTTGCGCGTGAGAACCCATCAGCTTGAACCAGGTTTTAAGAGCCTTAATAAGAACCACTACACTAAACTTTTTATTCATATTTCTCTCATAGGAACCTTTCTAACCTAAGTTTAAAATATATGGTTTTGTTACGCGGGTTTTTCCTGTACGCATCGTGGAATTTGCTCTGTCTTTAAGACGTTGAAGAGACTCCTTCTGTGGTTCTGAGAGGCTACCACGAATGACATCTGCGTATTTCATTTGACTTTCTCTACTGTGTATAGAATAATTCAAAATACTCCAGCACTGACAACGAGTGTTCCTTTTTGTAACATATTTAAATTTATAGAATATCAATACGCAAAAAGTTCACATTCTTTAATTACATGAAATAAGACTAAAGCCTCATCACAAAAAGTGTGCAACATTCACAATATTTACACGCTGATTTTCATGATGATAAAGACACAAACGGAATCCATTTATGTTTACATATGTGCAATGCACTGGCAGAATTAACAGTATAGATGCAATCCTTTACTATAAATGCTTAACTTGAGTACTCGCTTGAAATCTTAACATTGTAAATGCTCCTCCGCTGTGTCTACCTTCTGTTTGTCCTCTTAAAGTCCTGGCCTCATTGGAGTATCACGTTTCAGTTCATAATAGTTGAATAAAGATGACGTCATGGCAGACCAAACTTCCTTGCCCCGGTGAACATAACACTCCGTGTTGGAAAAGCCAACCTCACGACCAAACGTGAATCCGACGCAGTCCGTTAGCTGTAAACATTCATGCCCACAGTGGGTGATTGTCACACTGTATAAAACCTTTAGGACTTTATCTAAGCGCTGATGCCCCTCCAGTTTCACAACGAACAGCCCTGTCCTCACAAAGGCAGGGTCCGGAACAGGCGGTGATTCAGTCAAGTTGAATTTAGCAGTGACTCCATAAATGTAACAGCTTGCGCAAAGAATAGTGAAGAGAAGACACAATCTAGACGACAGAGGAACAATGATATGATTTTTAAACGAGCGCCATTTCGTTTACACTCATTGCGTCAAATATACTTTTGCTTACAGAAACTCTCATTTGTTCCATCGTATAAGCCGCCACTAGTGCAAATCCAAATTCGCATCAGATTGGCAAAAACAACCAACACCATAAACAGAGCGCTTGTAAGGGGATTGTGATATGGAACAACTCTTAGACTGAACAAAGCAGTATCTCTTTATGCATTTAATAGAGGAGTATGAAGCGAGATGAAAAGATACTGAAAGTGAAAGTTGGGAAGTTAAGTACGAAGCTCTCCCATGCAAACATGGCCTATTCTGGTTGTTTATTAACTTGGACAAGAGAACAAGAAGTCTAGAATTTGTAAATAAATGAAGAAAAGATATCAGGATCAGTGTAGAGTGATAAAGTTAAATATTAAAGAGTTATATTAATCTTAAATTAAGTTCTTTTCTGATAAAATGAATAGTGAAAGTTATCAGTAAAATCATGCTTTCTGCGCAGTCTTTGCGTAGCTGAACACAAAATTGAGTATCGAGTGGAGTTTCAAATGGGATGCGACAACTGCGAAAAGAAAAGGAATTTAAGGACAGGAGGTTATGGGGCATTGCGTGATGAAAAGAACTAGCGGGCGCTCGCAAAAATATCTAAAAAATTGTAAAAGTAAGCATTGATAACTGATTGCTATCAACAATGAGGGCTGACTATCAGAGTTCCCATTAGCATTGAGGCTTTTGGCTTCGGCTATCCCCGGTTTTTATAATATAATTTATTGAATTTACAACTCAAGGCAACGAAGCTTGGTGTTTTTAATTCACGTGGCCTTTAAACAACCTCTAACACGCTCTTCTTAAAAAACAAACAAATAATTTATAGAAAAGATCAATATTGCATAAAAAGATGTTTCATTTGCGTTTGCTATTTTGCTCTTCTTCCTCTTCTTCAACACATGGCAGAACACAGCAACGAAAACATTTTTGCTTCATTTTAAGAAACCACATGTTTTGCTAAATGTCTTTGTACGCTCAACAATTACATCACTCTTATCAACTGAACATAATCCTGAAAAATTAAGAATTCCGGTACTTACCTCATTTTTCTTTTTGAACCTTTGCTTAGTTTCAGGCTCTGCTGCTACCTAGATTAAAGATATTGGAAATAATAAAACCTGCATTGATGCGTAAGATAGCGTAATGCATTTTGGAAAAGCATCGTCACTACGTAACATCCTTGATGCATTCTTAATTTGATCAGCAGTTGGCTAGTGACTCTGTTTATCAAGCCAAAATAAAGCATGAAAAACATATAACACTAAGAAAAGGAACTGTTCAAATGTGAATGCTAACATTGAATTTGTTGCTAAGTGTTCTAGAAGAGAAAAAAAAATCTGAATTTATATGTCAGTAACAACAAAAGGTTTAACAATAAGCATGTTTTCTGCTGGAGAAATTCATGTTAGCATTTCAACTTGAAAATTTACCGATCTCGAAGTCTTTGTATAAAAAATTAGTGACAATTGGCCTTACGTCACCGATGCTTTCGGATAGTCAAAACAACTATAAGAAATGGTTGCTACTAAAGAGACAAGCTGCATCCATAACACCACAAAGTTTAGACATTTTATTACTTAGGGAAATTTTTGACAAACATATATACGGTACGAAAATTTTAGTGAGAAAATCTTTCTGAGAGCCTGTTTTTCCATACTGTTTTACAAAATTTTCTGCCGGATGAAAGCATTGTAGTAAATAGTTCCGAAACAATCGAATATTCAAGGTGTTCTAAAAAATAGGAAGTAAAAATAAGGGACTTTTATTTACTTCTGGCTGGCAACTTTACAATTTACATGAACAAATTCAAGAGGGCTTTTCTGTTGATGAAATAACCTAAGACAAAACATATTCTTTGAAGCATACTTAAGCTTGTTGTCTGACACTCTTCAGAACATAAAAAGGCCGGGACATAGAACAAAAACCAGGTCCGTAGCCAAGGGGTGGCATGGGGTGGCAATGCCACTTTGGAGCGAGAGAAGGCCAGCTGTTTGCCACCCCGAGAATTTCATCTCTATATTTTTTTAATGAGTTGTTTCATCCATTTCATTGGATTGTCGTGACAATTTGAGTCAAGATCATACTGGTGCAAGGAAAATTGCTTTCTGGGGTCTCTTATTATCCATGTAGGACTTTGCCGTTTAGCAAAAACTTCGCGCTACTTGGGCGCGTGTTAGAAAAACTGCTGACACGTCTGCTTGCAACACGGTGGTCAAGGCATTTCAAAGTCACAAATTATGTGAATAACAATTTGGGGGACAATATACTGTAGTATATAGACGTGTACTTGTTTAATCAGTAGCCTCAAAATAGGAATGTTATGTTCTGTTGTGTTAGAAACACGCATTTGAGTTAGCCTATGAATTGATACAATATTACAAAAACAAGCGCTGAAAATTATCTCAAAATTGATCATGTAGTTTAAGAAGTGAAAACCGTGGCTTGGCCAAAGGATTGTTGCTTCAGCAAGAAGAGGATGAGGACAATTTTTTGTTAATTATGATGGACATTCTAAAGAAAATAAACATAATCGTGAAGCAGCTTCAATCTGCCAACTGAAAATTTGTCACAGCGCTGTTTGTAGTTAAAGCAGTGTGGGAGGGCCTTAAGGAACGATGCATAAACTTGACTGAAGTTTAATGCGTAAAAATGCTTGTTGATATCGGAAAAAGCTATCACATACACTGTGGTCAGCATCGTTAAGCCAAGAAGGGCTCTTGTGCCAAGGCAACTTTATGATTTTGCCTGTACCAAGCACTCTTCGTCAGTAAAAGATGTCAAATGTCATAAAGGAATAAAGCGAGCTCGGAAAGTTGGATTAAATGACAGCATAGAGAACGCGTGTAGATACTCGAGAAATTTTATTACTTTTTATAAGTTGCAGTTACAGCTGGCTTCAAGTCAACAAATAAGGACTTTGAGTGCTCGTTTTCTG